GCAAAAACAGAGAAGACAGTTTCCAAATAAGGCGTTTTAGAAAGAAAGCGCCCAAGTGAAATAAGCAGCAAATGCAGCGAAACTTTGCATTGCAAATTTGTTCTCCGTGGATTCATGTTTCCAATCATCATTGATGTATTTACATTCAAACCTCTCTGCCTGGTAAAATCTGTCAATACACTGGTTTCAGTGGCAGTTTACAAACCATTGATGTTAATAAGATGTTTTCTTTATGCATAAATAAATGATGCGGTTGGGTGAGTTTAAAATTAGTCAGAAAATGAAATAATACATCAAATTCTATCTTCATTTCCTGCAATTGAGCTCTACGTTAGTTTTAAGACAACTTATGCGAACGAAAAAAAACCCAGTTGCATAATGTTAAGAAACACCATTTAAGAGGATTTACACAGAATTATGGATGAAGAACTCCGGAAATAATTACATATTTTGATTAATGCTGCTACCAGAAGTAGGGCAGAGCAATTTGATCCCAGCAGCGTAAAAAATGTTTTTCACTTCCTGAAGAATAAGTCTCTTTGAATGTGCTATTTTTAGGTTGCAGGTAAACAGCTCACTACGCAATACCTTGTGACACAGCTGATAATAATAGGAGACTATAAAATGCCTGTTCCATCCACCCAATATGTTCGTAGTCCTTGTTCGCGAATACATGATTTCTTACTTTCCTTGATTGTTAATTTAGAGGATATACCGTACCAGCTCTAACCAAATTTGTTTTTCACTATCTGACCACGGGAAATATAATTTGTCCTGACGTGTAAAAATAAGCATTTCTATAGTCTGATCCAAGAATGTGACTTTCACGTTTGCCACATTATTGAATACCACCACTTACTCAGAAGAAAACTGTAGAATAATTAAGGGTTTCTGTGCCTGTAAAAATATTATCAGAAGGCCTTATGCTCTTATTCAATTTCTTAAATATTTTATATTTCTGGCATGTCTTATAAAGTATATATACATTGTACAGTACAGTACTTTCGCGTTGTTTCTCTTTAACACCAGGAACATTTGCTAAATTATTTTACAAAAAGCCTTAATAATATATTAAAAATGTAATAAAACGCATTATATATATTAGTTGTATATAAAAGGTATTGTCAATTTCCAGACGTTCAACTCTGTTTAAAGTAGAGAATCCTGTTCCTAATTTCCACTTCAATTGTACTTTATGTTCATTTGTGTCCTCATTTTTGTCCTGGGTACAAATGCTTCATTGCCTTTAGTCACTTCTAGGCATAGCTGAGATGTACTGTAGCTGCATGTATTTCCATTGCATTTTGCTTAGAGTACA